AAGCGTGATGTCCTTCTCCAGGGACTGGTACCTCCAGATAACATGTCCAAAGTACGTGAGACAAAGTCTTGCCATCCTTGTTTCTAAGGAGCATTCTGGCTGTGCTTCTTCCAAGACAGATTTGTTCATTCTTCTGGCAGCCCATGGTATATTCAACATTCTTTGCCAACACCATAATTCAAAGGCATCGATTCTTGTCTCGGTCTTCCTTATTGATTGCCCAGCTTTCGCATGTGTATGAGGTGATTGAAAACACCATGATTTGGGTCAAGTGTTGGGTCACCTTAGTCCTTAAAGTGACATCTTTGCTTTTTAACAGTTTAAAGAGGTCTTTTGCAGCAGATTTGCCCAATGCAACGCGTCCTTTGATTTCTTGACTGCTGCTTCCATGGGCGTTGATTGTGGATCTAGGTAAAATGAAAGGTAGATAGGACCTTTAATTTTATCTTCATTTTTTCAATAAGGAAACTTAGATCCAGAGAGAGTAAGTGATTTTCCCAAAATGTTTTACAAACTTAGTGCAAAACCTAGGTCTCTTACCTGTTAGTACCTTTTTTTCTCTCTTAGGCTATGCTGCTTCCTTACCACATTTTACTTTAATCAAGGAGTTCTCCTTATTTGGGCCTTATACTAAGGTATTTAAATAAAGTCTGGAATTTTATCCATTTTCACTACTATAATCAAGCATCTATAGCTAGGTGACCCCTTGTATAGTCTTCTTACTTAAAGAGAGGTTAATCCTCTTCAGTGTACCAGGCACTTTATTATATATACCTGTTAATTCTGTTAAATATATCCATTTAATCCTGACAACTCTATAGTTTATATTCTCGTTTTACAGGTGAGAAAACTACTTAGAAAAGTTAGGTAACTTCACTAACTTAAATAGGACTGTGCTCAATAGGGTTTTCAATGGCTGATTTTTTGAAAGTAGATTGCTAGGCCTTTCTTGTGAGGTGCTTCCAGGTGGACTCAAACCTCTAACCTTTTGGTTAGCAGCCAAATGTGTTAACCATCTGCACCACTCAGGGACTCCAAATAAAAGAATACCCTTCCTAAATCCAGGTACACCTACTCCTCACTTATCGACATGTTTAGGTTCCAAAGACCAGGTCGTTATGTGAACATTGGCGTTATACAAAAGTGGAAGATGACTGCATCAGTATATAATGGTCAGATTACATCATTACATAACTGCCAAACCACTGAGAATCATAGCCTAGCCAAGCTGACAATAACCTTCACCATCACAGCCAACATTACTCTCGCCTCACATCTCAGCGTTCGTTACTGCCTGACATACGATGTTAATGTGCAAAATAGATAGTAGATTTTTTACTATTGTCGTAAATGTGAAATGTCAGATAACAAGATAGTCGGTAAGTGAGGAGTAGGTGTATTCCTCCTCCCCTCCCCCATACACATATTCAGTCTGGAGCCAGTTCTAAAAATATCTAAGCCAACCTAGGAACTGATACAAAACTGGATCACTTTCTTCTATCCAGAATTACTCAGTGCCTTTCATGTGTACTGGAACATGATGCAGACTTGGGCATATGTTTCTGTCCCAAAGGAGATAAAACAGCTCTGTATGGTGTTTCTTAGGAGAATTAAATCCTTACTAAAATGAAATCTGTGGATTATTTATGGATTCCATTGATCTGTTATTACCTTATGTAATTGTGAGTCTTAAATTTCAGGTATGAAATGTCCCAGAAGATGGGTTTTGCTTTTGCTTCCAGAGAAGCATTTCCCTTGATTGATTGTTCATTAGATATCAGCAGGTTGTGATATGGCCGACATGAAGTTTGATGGAGGTTTGGGGTCTTTAAGAATGCCTGTGACACCATTTCCTAAATTTACCACACTCCTCTCTGTTCTGCCCTTCCCTACCCCCTGTCATGATACTTATCCTCAATATGTTTTTGTAAAACTGTAAGAGAAGTGAAGGAATTCCTAAAACAAATTATATTGGGACCAGCCCTTGCAGATGGGAGACCTCCAGGCCCTGTGATTTAAAGACTACCCTCACAATATCCTCGCCCTCGTAGGTGCTCAGCCTCCTACAGCCTCCCCATGATACCTTTTCTCAAGCTCTTCATTTACAGTGACCAAAAATGATCAGTAATAGCATTAGATATGACCTTTTCTAAGAGTCTGCATTTTAATGCAATCAAAGCCTTAGTTAAACTAGAGAAGTGAATCTCTAGTGTGGTAGAATTTCAGGCACTGCAAACTAAAGTAATATAGTACAAAAGCCTGGAGTTTAGAATATGTGGGTCCTAGTCCTAGCTAATGCTGGTACTGACTTGCTGTAAGATCTTGGGCAAGTACTTCATCTTTCTGGGACTATTTTCTTCATGTATAAATGAGAAGGATAAATTGGATAAGATCTGAGGTTCCTTCCACCACCAACGTTTCTTAGATAACTTTACCACTGTGCATGGGATTGTGTCTAAGTGAAGACCATTCCTCCTGTGTTGATGGAGGTAGGCAGACCCTGTGGGCAGCGTGTGGAAATAACTTTGAAGTCAAGTCCAGGCTCTACCATGGCCTATCTGTGACTTTGGGCAAGTCATACATTCTCACAGTCTCTGATCTTCATTCTCCTCAAGTGTATTAGTATTCTCAAATCCAGGACATTTTATGTATAATAAATGAAAATTGGCATTAAACTCTACAAATGTAAGTGATGGTTATTGTTGTGATGGCATCTAGAGGCCAGCCACTGAGTAACTAAGAGCCTTCCCTCACTGGGAGAGTCCATTTGCACATGCTGTCCACCTTCCATATGCTGTGGCCCTATACTCTCACTCCTAGTTGCCCTAGTTTTCTGCCTGGAATTACTCCATCCCCTGCCCCTCCCACCCAATATTTGAGTATTCCCAAGCAGCAGTGACCATACAAATATTGTCAAGTTTGAGGTCAGTCAGAAAATAAGCCTCCCTAAATTTGGCAGTTCACCTCTTCCATCTCACTGCATAACACACACATACACACATACTTTCATACCCTCTCACTTGGTTTTAGATAAAAAAAAATTAGATTTTTATTCTTGTTGAGACTTTTTCCAGCTGATGTCCTATCCTACCCAACCTCCAATCAAGCCAAAAGGCAGAGATGTAACAAGGAGTCTGAGAGGGCTCGGAGCACTGGGGTACCGAGATTAATGAGTCACCTTCCCTGCCTTCAGTCACCTTGTAAGGGCTGTAAGAGAAGTGAGTGCAGAGTGCTCCAGAAGATTCCTAATCTGGCAGGGAGTGTGGGGAAAGGCTTAGAGGAGATGACGCTTCAGTGACCAGTATAAAAGGTGGGCAGAGGTATCTCCATTTTACAGATGTGGAGATAGTGTCAGAAGTTTAGGGAACTGCTTCAGGGTCTCGACTGGTCACTGGAGAAGCTAGAATTCAAACTCCCAAAGAACACTAGCCTAAGGTTTCACACCAGGATAAACTACTGCATAAAAGACAAACAAATAATTTGGGGTCTTTACTTTTTTCCAGTGCTGCACAGGAGTGCAAGATATGAGTGCTGAAAGTGAAAGAAGCTTTTTGTTTTAAGGAATAAAACAAAAACTAGTGTTCAGAATAATGAAAAATTAGACTTGCTAGGAAAACCATCTTAATTTTCATTAGTATGCTAGAATATAGATCTACTAAAATGTTACATACACGTACTTGAACTTTAAGTTACTTCTTTTTCTCAAATAAACATTTTAATTTTAGTTTTATCTTAATGGCAGTTTATTTCTGCAGTAGAAAAAAAACATTGTTAACAAGTCTTTAACTGGTCAGGTCATGGAATTTCTCTGGCCTCAGTCTCCTCGGATGTAAAAGGAGGTCTGAGCTCTAAAGTCCCTTCTTCCTGTAAGATTCTGTGATTCATTATTTTGTTACCAGTTAACTCTCTGCTTGTAATAGGTTAAAGATAAATAGAAAGTTGTTGATGGATCAGGGCTAAAGGAATCATTTTGGAAGGAATCTTACTGTGTATACGTTGTCATACATGAAGTTATCAGGTATGACAAACCTGGTGGTTTCTCAGGTTCTTTTATTTCTTAGTGAAAGACATCCAGAGTAACCCATCTACAGGTTTAAGTAAATTTTGTGAGATTTGACCATAGAATAGTAAGAGTACCAGCATGTCACAGGCACATAGTTGACAGATAAGTAATGATTGTTGAAATTAGGTGTGGCTGAATGGATTTTCTTGGTGAGTTATAAACTGTGTCTAAATGCAAGACCCACCCACTGAAAAAAAAAAAAAAAGAAATTCAAAACTAAGCCCAGGAAGGGAAATGAATACACAAAGACTTGTATACAAATGTTTATAGCAACTTCATTTTTAATAGCTAAAAACTAGAAACAACCAAATGCCCATCAACTGGTAAATGGATAAACAAAATGTACCTCCATGCTCAGCAATAAAACAGAATGAGCTACTGATACATACTACAACATGGATGAATCTCAAAAGCTTTATGCTAAGTGAAGGAAGCCAGATGCAAAGGACTGTATGTCATAGGTTTCCATTTATAGGAAATTCTAGAATAGGTAAAACTGTAGTTGACAGAAAGAAGATAAATCAGTGGTTGCCAGGGACTGGGGAGGTGAAAGGAGAGGACTGACTACAAAGGGGCCCAAGGGAACTTTTAAATGTTCTGTATCATTATTTCAGGGATGGTTATATGGATGTATACATTTGTCAAAACTCATTAAATTGGAAAAAAAATCATCAAATTGTACACTTAAAATTAGTGACTTTTATTATATGTAAATTATATTTCAAATAAAAGCAGATAAACCTAGGGCAGCATCTTGTATGCCTTACAAAGTAACTACTTAAATTGGGGAAATATTATTAATAGTATTGATTTTTATGGTAAATCTAAACAAAATTTTGGCCCCTAAAATGTGTCTACATAGAAAATGGTGACTGATCAGCTTGCTTTGAGATCTCATTGCATTTTTGCTTTCTCTTTCTCTCTCTGCCCAACCTAGAAAAACTTATTGAGGGACTCAAATCTCCTGACACTTCTCTTCTGCTCTCTGACCTTTTGCCTCTGACAGATCCTTTTGGTAGCACTGCTGATGCTGTAATTGGTAAACCCATCATCTCTTTTTCTTCACTTTGCATGATAATATTTGTCTATTTCAAGAATAATAAACACCTGGTTAACAGATCCCTAGTGAATAGCCCTGGTGCAGAGTATAAATGCCACAGTCTTCTGGTTTTGAAGTTATGCCTTGTGCTCACCCAGAACCAAAGGCTATTTAATCTACTTATAACCCCAAATGAAGTGTTTTCTCTGCCTTCCAGGGGTGTAACACTGTCATTTTTTGTTTTCTTGATACCCTGAGATTTCTAGAATGAGGAGGAAAGTGGAAAGATTCACATATAGTTACAAAAGCTTCATGGAAGTTTCTGAGCTGGACCTTAGCTTTACTGAACTTAATGGAATTTAGCAGATTTTTCTTTAGAAAACCTTCGTATGTAGTATCAGTAACTGAGAAAACAATTTGCCCAGTGGTTAAGCCCCATGAGTAGAATCCAGCGCAGGGGCTTGGTCTGCTAACTCTCTTGCATTTTCCTGTGCTCCAAGGTAGGCAAAACCTACAAAATGCCCAGCGCCCGTATAGTCCAGTAAGGCCTGTCCTTAAAGACATAATAATGCCTTTGGGCAAAAAGTCCTAAAATGCCATGACCCTAAAGAGGGATGAGCCTCCAGCTGAGGGATGTCATATGGTGCAGAATACCTTCTAGCTCTTGAGATGGTTTAAGGTGTACTGGTGGCCTGCAGGGCACAGGGGATGTTTTGCCCCCATGTCTGCCCACTAAGAAAAGCAAAATTATCAGAAAGTACGAAGGTGCCTTTCAACCTGCTAGCTCTTCTGACATGGAAGAGATCTGCTGGGTGGCTCGTGTTCTACATTTATGTATAGAAATGGAGAATCACTGAGATTGGCCCCAGTGGTAACCTTCCACATGTGTGCTCAGTCAGTGAAGCCCACACACTCAAAGCACCACAAATGAAGTCACTTACTGTGCTTTCCATCTCATCTGAGATGGACATTTTAAAGATCTGTAGAAGAAAGCCTTCATTTTAGAATTTCATTAGAATTTCATTAGAATTTTCTAAAGAACTTTCTGACCTCCTTTCCTTTGCCATTTCCTCTCCTTTCTTAATGCTCTGTTATAAAAGAAAAAGCTGATGCTGCTGTTGAGAGTCTCATACCAGGACTGGAGCCCCCAGTGCCCCAGCGCCTCCCATCTCAGACGGAATCCGTTACCTCGAATCGCACAGGTCAGTCAGGTGTCTCTGCAGCTGCAGGCTGGTCGGTGTGATGAGCCCTGAGAGCCAGTCTTTCCACCTGGGACAGATGATGGAGGGCTTACTTTGCAAACTGGCTAGTTCCTCCTAGAACAGATGCTCGGGTTTGTTCTTTCAGCCCCAGCTTCTAGATGTTGTTGAGTGACGTGTTTTCTCACTGAAGATCAGAGAGTGCTTTTTGGAGCCATGTTCATAGTAGAGCGATCCCTGGGCTTTCTCTGGCTATCATATTTTTTTATTCAAGATTCTTTTCACTGGTGGCTGGTTTCCTCCACCTCCTTAATTAAAACACTGTTGAGCTACAAGAATGCGCTTAACTCTTTCAGGTTGCTAGGCAGTCTTTTCTATCTAACAGTTCAGTGATGTCTGTGGAGTTCATGTTCTGTGTGTTGACATTCTGTACCCAAGAGAGAGCTTTAATCATATATAGGTGATTTGCTGCTAAATGGTAGGCAAAATTGAAAGCTTCCCTAGATCTAGCATTGCTCTCACTCTAGATTTAAAGTTAAATCTTAGTTGAATTTCTTAACTGCTCGTAAATACATATTTGGTAACCTTCAATTTTTTTGATTCCATAATTACCTTTATAAAAGTGTCTGAACAGAAACAGTTATAAGTCTGAGACATGTGAGAATAACCTCATCCAGATGAGGAAAAAGAAAAATTAACACAGAAGATAGTATGGTTCCTTTTCCTTATCTTTACTTGGATTTTGTGGAATCTCAGTATTTCTCCTAGAAAAATTTCCCAGAAAACAGTCCATGTGTTAAAATGCTAGACCTATGAATTTTGTCTTCCTTCTGGTCTCTAACTGAAAGCCAAATCCTGTGTTCAAAGGAGCAATTCAAATTTAAAGAATAATAGTAAGAGGCAAGATCATTCTACTTTGGATGGGAAGCTAAATGAGTTCTAGAAAGTGCATGTCACATGCTGCTGATAATGAGCCAGGGACAACCCTCTCCTAGTCAGCTTGGATACCTTGGTCTATAGAACCTTTCTTCCATGAGTGTTCAGGGAAAATTTAAGTAAAACTCTTTAACTTCAACATCCTTTTTCCCCAAATGGCATTTGCTGAGAACTGAGTTGCTAAGGTTATATTGGCATCCAAATCACAGACTTGCTTAGCCAGCAACCTCTGAGCAAAAAATTCTCCCATATTTATATATTAGTGTTAAGAAGAATCTAGAAATACATATTTCTGTAGATGAAAATCCAGAGGGCTTAGCATGTTTCTGTTGGTTTTCTTTCTCCCACCTTGGCTTGAATGTATAACATGTAAATGAAATAACTTAAAGGCTGAAGATCTAATTTTATCATATTGTTGTGTGTGCCATTTAATGCCATCACTGACTTGGGATGCTGTTAATCTGGACTCAGATTCTCTCACCGGGGAAGATTCCCTGCTTGATTCCTCTCTGCTTTCTAACCCTACTACTGATCTTCTGGAAGAGTTTGCCCCTATAGTGATCTCTGCTCCAGCCCATAAAGGTAAATACTTTCTTCTTCTCAGGCCCACATTTATCCTTAGAGGAGAAAAACTGAATGGCTGTTTCAGAAAAACTGAAAATGCTAATGAATTTTTTAACTACCTCCCTATGTGGAAAACTTGAATTTGTACTCTTAATCACTGTGTTATAACACTTCTCAGTAAGAATATTCAGTAAGACTTAGACAACAGAATAGTGAAGGAAGTAGTGCATTCTGGCAAGAACTTGGAGGGCAGATATTCCAAGTTAACCTGTTAAAGGCAGAGCTACGTACCTTTGCAGTCAGCTCAGGAAGATGGTTGGGGTAACTATCTACTGGCTGACTACTATTAATATGATACTCATTGGCCTCAGAACTTAAAATTGTTTCATCAGATTTGATTTAAAGTGATAGTTGCAATAAATAATCAATCATCAGCCCTCAGAGAGTGAACTTATGAAAGTTTTGAATTGTGCTTCCCCTTGAAGTCATGACTGATTACTGGGTTTCTCTTGCTTTGTCTTTGGTTAATACTGGTCTGAGATTCTAGTGAATAGCTTGTGAAAGTGATAGGCACGATGCCTGGCTTACTGTAGACAGGCATTCACTAAACTTTTTTCTGTGCTTGGACAGTGGAAGTGGTTTTCTGGAAGGAGCAAATACATAGAAAAGAACAGCTTAAGCACTTTCTGAAGAAACTTCCCCAAGATGACTAAAAATCATTAGCCTGTGGTTTTCAGTGGTAATAGCTGAGTTTTTTGTTTTTACCCCTAGCAGTATTGAAATGATTTCTTTTTTTCTTTTTTAGAGCAGATAGAGGGAAGTTCCCTATTTTAAACAATTGAGTCTGGCAGAAGTGTGTCAGCAACAATGTGCAGTTACAGAGATGCATCACTTGCAAATAGATGCTCAGCTGGCACTTGCTGGGCTGGTGGGGTTGCTCTAGTTAGAGTTGAGACGACTATTCTAACAGACTTCTGCTTGATGTCCCAGTGCATGTGATTTTGTGTCCCAACACTCCCTGAGGTATCAGAGTTGTTTGAAAATCTTTCTCCCAGTCACAGAACAGTGAGTCCTTACAGAAATATTTCGCTTGCCTTGTATCTAGTGGTCACTTCATAAAGAGCCACTAATTATCCCTCCCCACTTCTATGTCTAGTTTTGAGTTTTGGCAATGTTGTTAGTCAGGTCTCTGTTTACTTATAAAGAAGACAAATGACTTATTCCTGTTCCTTTGTGAATTAGTGACATTGAAGAGATAACTCACAATATAGCCATGTGCTGCATACCACCTCTCCGGCTGCCCTCCTTCCTCCTGCGAGCCTTTTTCCTTTCCTGGCTCCTTGTGGGGGTTGGGGGGTGTAGGCTTCTAATCCTGGCACTGCATAACCTTATGGGAGCACTTACGTAAATGCAGTCAGACGTTGCTGGAGTGGATGTTATGTGACACATGACTGTATGGTGTTCGCACAACATCCAAATTGCATAACATCCTACTTCACAGAACGTGTCAGGGACATTAAGTGATGCATGAACGTAGTTACCATTAATTTGTCTTAAAAGTGGTAGAGAGAATTTTTCCAGTAACATCTCTCCCATATCACGTATAAAAGAGTTAACATGGCCAACTCTAATTATTTCTGTATACCTAAGCTTTCTGGTTTTGCTACTTTTATTTCAACTCAGGAAGTTCCTAGGTGATGCATATGGTTAAGCGCTCAACTACTAGCCAAAAGATTGGCAGTCTGAACCCACCTAGAAGCACCTTGGAAGACAGGCCTGGCAATCTGCTTCCAAAAGGTCACAGCCTTGAATACCCTGTGGAGCAGTTCTACTCTGCACAGAAGGGGTCGGAATCAACTCAACTGCATCTAACAACAACAACATTTCAACCCAGAAAAATAACTACTTTCACCTTTAAAAACCAGAGTGACTGTACAGTTGGAAACTTTGTGCCTCTTACACATTCTCTCATTTGCTAATCTCTACCTCTGTTGTTTCTGCTTGTGTACTTGCATTCTGTATTAAGCTGCAGAAGATAGTAATCTCATCTCAGGTTTTGATGTCCCTGAGGGCTCGGACAAGGTGGCAGAAGATGAGTTTGATCCCATTCCTGTATTGATAACCAAAAATCCACAAGGTAAGAGAGGATGGGAAAAAGAAAAGAGCTTGATGTCAGCTCTTTTTGAAATAGTAATGAACCTAATCTGCAAGAGGGGGGAAAAAAACATTTGGTGAAGGAGATTGGTAATGACAGTCATTGTGGGCCAGTATAGATAGCTAGAGATACAGATGCAGATAGACAGAGCTTGACCACGGTGTTTATTTAGAGAAAAGTGTCTAATAGTTTGACTTTAAAAAAAAGCTAGTTTTTATAAAGCATTAAACAATAAGTGATCTTCAGTCAGTGGAAACCTGAAGGCTTATATCAAAAAAAAAGCACTTAACATTTTTTATCATGACTAGAACACTCTGTAATAAATATTCTTCCCAAAGAGATTTATAAGATGTTCTATTATTTACATCTTTTCGGGCATTTATGGAGCATCCTTTTTCCTCTTTGATGGATTAAAATCATTTGAACATGGCATTAAACCCTCAATTGCCGTAGGACCTTCTAGTTTATTATTTTTTTTTTAAAGCATGTTCATACTGCAGTAGTCTTAATAACTAATTTCATCCCAAAGTAAACATTAATTGATTTTGGGTATCAGGGAGATAGGTAGATAATTTTCAGGAAGTTAGGATACAGCCAACAATGCTCAGGCAAAATATATATTCATTTGGAAACAGCATCCTCTTCACAAGATGTCCTGCCTATACTGTGGTGTGCAGGCTGCCTGAACTTTTGGTGGGAGGTGATGGATAGCTAATTTATATGTTTAAAAATCAACATGTAAGAGTTTGCAAATGTAAAATGTTGCTTCTCTAGGTTTTTTGTTTTGTTCTGTTTTCTTCTCCTTTGCTTGCTCTGCACATCTGAACCTTAACCCTCTATGTTTTGTACTGAATTCCTATCTCTCCACTTCCAGGTGGGCACTCTAGAAACAGCAGTGGGAGCTCTGAGTCCAGTCTTCCCAACCTAGCCAGGTCTTTACTGCTGGTGGATCAGCTCATAGACCTGTAGCCGTGACCCAGTAGCAGATGCAATTGTGTAACCTTAATACCGTAATATACATTCTCATTACGGAGTTATAAGAAAAATGAATTTTTTTTTGTTAAATCTGCAAATAAGGGGCCTCTAGCCCTTATCTCCTACCCCTTGCCTTCTCCTATAGAAATGATAAGGAAAGAAAATCACTTTGGCCCTCCAGATATTCCTTGGCCAGTTTCTCCCTGTTAGTTTTGCCGTGTTTTCTCATTACCCTTCTTCAATAGCATTATCTTAAATCAAGCGCTAGATGCCATGAGCTTCACCTCTGCTGGAATCGACTCCACCAAAAGCTTAACTGTATCTGAAACTAGTGAATTGACACCTTTGTTTCATTCTTGCTAGGAATGACCTCCCAACCCCTCTCTCCTTTGGCCAGATGCTGGCAAATGTATTTACCTGTTTTTGCTTTATATCCTGATGCATTATCATGAGGACATTACTTCTTCAGTTGGTCTTAACTTTAGGCAATAGCCTGGAGATGAGTGTGTGGTTTAAGAGAGGGTAGAACTGACTGACTGGTAGCAGTATATGTTTGAGAAGAGAAATTGAGTCCAGCTCTAGCCAGCCAACTTTGACCTTTGATCATAGACTTAGCCAAGGGATTTTACACCCCATGCAACCTGCCCAGCATTCATCCAGCTTTCTGGCTTCCATTGAACCGTGATTTCTCAGATCTGGAGATGTGACTGCAAGTACTTGAGATCCTTGGAGAAAATGTGTACATGATATAAATCCCAAGTATTGCCATTCCTTTTCATGTTAACTGTCCCAAGCTGGGATCTCAGAATTAGACTAAAACAAGACAATGGTGGTAATATGATTCCTTTTATTAGAAGACTTTTCACTGGGGGGTAAATAGGGGAGGGGAAGGAATTGTAGCAGAAACAGATGTATTTTTCTTGTGATTTTTATTTTGAATCAAATATTGTAAATTGTGTATAAATGAAGACGCTGAATAGTTCTGTTTCCACTTGGTGTTTCAAGTCCGATATCAGGTGTCTGTACAGGGTTTTGCTCTCTCTCCCATGTATAACTGGACAGCGATCCTACAGTGTAACATATGGAATCATTTTGAATAGACTCGTGTGTTGCTATAAGCTTTCAGCAGGTCCTCTGTCTTTGTAGAATAAGCATGTTGTTTATTTTCAGATAATCAGAAGTAAGTGTGCTGACAAGCTTGGCACAATTTGACTGTAGCTATTTACCTTTCTTTTATCTCTCTGATGTTTAAATTGAAGGCTGCAGCCACTAACATGTTTAGTTGGTTTTCCTTGACTTCTTAGATAGAAGACAAAACAAAAGAAAGCGTAGTTCCTCACTAACCTTAGAATATTCTTCATAAAATAAATAAAGGACCCTGCACTGACATGACAACATGCCTCATGGTCACCCTCTGTATCTGTACATATTCATTGAAGTGGTTTGTTTTTGTTTTTGTTTTTTTTCCCTTACGTGAAAAAGCAATTTTATAAAATCACACTTTTGAAAAGAGGTGGGCACAGAGGACCCCACTGTTGTTGTCTTCCTCAAGTGCCATTTGCCGTGATCAAAAGGGAAACTCTTAGTTGATCAGATTTGTACAAATAAAATTCCAAGTCCATTTGCTGGTTTCTCTATCTAGTACTTTTGTTTCTTCTTCCTCATGTTTGCACTTTAGGGGGGCGGGGGGAGAGAAGGTTTAACGGCAACCATAAAAGCCTGCAACACTGCACTTTGGAGGACAAGCTCTGACGCCAGCAATGCGAGAGCAACCATTGAAAGACATCTGAGGAAAGGTCTGAGCCTTTCGGTCTTCTGACTTTAGATACTTCCTCTGCGGGCTGAAATTAGATAAGCTAAGTGAAGTCCTCTCCTAAGGTAACAGATCGTTTCCAAAATTTAGAGAGGCACAACCTACATGCTGAGGATTAAAAACAAAAAGATATTTTTGAAGCGCTTTCTCTAAGTGGATAGCAGTGAAAGTGGGACTGGGCTCACCCATTTATGAACAAGAAAAACTGCTGCAGATCAGAATTGTATTCTCTTTCCTGGACATAGAAAGAGTGTATAAACTAATGAAGGAAATGTTTATTTTTAAATAAGAATAATGTTTTACGATTTGGTTTTTTTCATACATACATACATGTTAGAAATATAATGAAATATCTAGTTTCTCAGTTTAATTGAAACCATGAAGAGTATAGTTTAGAAATTAGGTGTCTCTAAATTGTTCCTTTCGTGCATTACCCATAATTACATTGACATATATTATCTAGTCGTCTAGCTCAATAAAGCTTAATGGGGACTGCTAATGAAAATGAACAGAAAAGAAGCCAGAGACTAGATGGTGGAAGCCTGAGGGAGATAATGTCATGAAGTTATCTTGGCTTGTTCTTGAGGAATAGAGCCTTAAAGGGGAGAACTGTTTTTCTCTTGAGGAATACCTGTGAATGACTCAGTAATGGGGCCTTCCTTAGTTTACAGCATCACCTTGAGCTAAGAGGGTTTATTTGAGCTGAGTATAGTGTGCTGGTAATTGGTAGACCTATGGGACCACAGACTGAGCTGCAAGAGGAACCTTAGAGACCATCCTCTAGTCCATCCACTTTGCTCTACAGATGTGGGACCTGAGCTGGATGGAGGCAGGGTGGTGGGAAAAGAGGCCTGGGCTGGACAGGCCTCCTGGGACCTCATCCTGACCCTTGCCAGTCACCGGCTGAGTGACCTTCAGCAAGCACTTCACCTTTTAGAGCTGCTGTTTTTGTTCATACAGCGATGGATATGAACTAGCTGGTCTTTAAGATTATAGAATTATAGGATCCTAAGTAAATACTGTTATTCTTTAGAAGGACTATGAAGGATTTATATAATCCTGATGTTCTTCAGTTACCTTATAGTTCTTGCTATTACTGTAGCAATATTTACATTTTAGAGAATTATAGTAGGATTTTAATAACCTGGGTTGCTCTTTCTTGGTTATCTGAATAGAAGCCTAAATTATCACAGAGTTTTGAACACAGATTTTCCTTTTTTAATATCTGTCTTTCACACACACGTACCCTTACATATTCCAACAAAACCATGTCAGATTTCATTTCTTTTTAAATGTGTATCAGGGATCTGCCATTAAAAAATGGGCAAATACTATATGTTTCTGATTTGCTTTTATTCCAACTGTATAAAAGTAGTAATTAAACCAGAAAACATCACAAATTGGTATTTTTCCCTTTACAGCATTCAAATAACTAAATAATCAAATTCAAGTCCCAATGTTTTTAAAAACACAAGCCTCAGAGGAGATAAAGTTTAATTGGTCTCTTTTAAAAAAATGTGATTATTATAATCTGATGATTTCTTTAGCAGACATATCAGGATCTTGACATCCGGTTGAGTGTTATTCCCTTCAAGGGCACCTGGTTTCACGTGAGAAGCTCATACTTTTTTTAATGATGCTGCTATCATTTAAGTTATTTTGAAACTCCTCTCCTGAGAAATAACATCAAGGAAGGTAATAAGGTATAATAAAATCGGTTGTATTACTTGCTCAATAATACCACTTTCAGCATCTGAAAGTATATTCCATTTCTTGATATTTTTCCACCATTCTTGTTCTGAGTAACATTTGACTGTTTCCAAAAAGAAAAGCCACCCCCATAAGATGAAGAGTGGTCACCATTGAAGATAGCAAAAAGGATGCTCCATAGAAAATTCCCAGAGAGAAGCTTGTAATGGAAAATGAAAAAGCTCAGTCATAAGTTCTTGTAATATTCTGAATAAAGGAACTCTTGTGGTCCCCAGTCTTTAGTATGGTATAGAAAATTAAAAGATAGGGATTTTTAAATGCCTCCAAAAGAGGTTGTCACTTTGTACAGTGTCATTTGATATTGGACTTGGCTCTTTCTGATTTTGAATTATGAAACTCGGATTGCTAATTATTGTAGGGAAACAAACCCAAGAAAAGAACCTGTTTATCTCAAGGTGGAATATTAGTTTTGTTTTGTCTTTAATGTTTTTTTTCATAGTGTTCTGTCAGATAATTTATCATTTTGATTCAAACCAACCTAATCTTCCCCCAAGTCAGGAACATATCTGCCTTTAGCAGTGATGTAGGAAGGAGGAGACCTTTGTGACTGACCCCAGCCCAGAGGTATGGAGCAATCTGAGTTCAGCTGAACGATTGCCTGCGATAGGTACCGTGGGCCAAAATAAAGGCTCCCGTAATGAGGTTTTTCTGTCATCTTCAGGAGTCATTAACTTTCTTAGTCTATAAAATTACCACGGTTCCAGAAACACTAATTTAGAGTCTGAGGATAAAAGTAACAGGATTGTCCAAAGTACTGGATTAAGCAAATTAGAGACTGCTAGGTAGAATAAAAAAATTATTACGTGGATGGATATTTAGAATCCTTAAATCCATATATTTAGATTATCCGAAACACTCCAGGTATTGCAAAACTATCTTTTATCCTATCTAGAGACTGTAATTTTACCAACACAAAGTTAACCCTTTCCTTTTCCACACTCATAATGTTCCTGAGGTTGGGTATGCTTGGGTTTCTTGAGTCAGAATGAATCCCAGATGGCCTCCATTTTGAATAGTCTGTAACAAGATACCATTTTGTTTCTCCTGGGTTTCCTTTCACTACTGTGGGGGAGGGAGGCTCCTTGGGTAATGCTAACCTATGCAAACGAAGTTACCAAATGGTGGTAGTTCCTAGAATGGAAGACACTCTCTTGGTTCCCACTTTGGTGTAGTGTCCTGAACATTTCTCTTTTCCTGTGCGTATTCTGCTCCGCCCTATTTATTGCACACTCCCTTGCCATGTAGATGTGTATTTATTATTATCAGCCTTTATCCTGTCCTCCCCAAGAAGAAAAAGCGAACAGATGTACATGAAGCTATCTTATGCAGTTAAAAAAAAAGTGAAATCTGAAAATTGTTACGCAAGTATTGTATAGAAAACAAGTTCTGTAAACACATTTCTTATGTAAACATACAGGGGAATAAAGTCTTTTATCTGTTCAAACGGGAGCATGTTTAGAGATGTAAATAACTTAAAATAGTTGCTGTTTTCTTGAGCTGAAAACACACTTTTGCAGAAAGGGTTTAAACACATTGTTGAGTGACACTAAGTCTCTGTGCACAAGAGCAGTGCAGACACATGTGAGAAAGATATACTGAGGACATTTTCCTGGGTCATGGCCACCCTTGGCTTCAAGGAGAACAAAACCCCTGTGAAACCTACATTCGGTAGACCAGAAGCGGGGTTATAACATGGACCACAGATTGGCAGCTACCCTTCTCTAATTCAATCTTTAATATACCCAGCCCAATTTAATTAAACGTTTTATGTTCACAAGCGCAGTTATGTGCCCCAGGAGAAATCACTCTCATTTAATTGCCCCATTGGCTTGAGAGGCACAACATCACCAGCCAGTGCTGGTTCCCATCAGGTCCCTTATGCCCCAAACATGGGCTTTAAGGCAACTACACAACATATGGCAGAGCCAAGGCTTAATTTTATTATCTAAACCAAAAGGTCATAGAAATTATTCATTTGATGTGCATCTCTTGATTCCCTGATTGGGTTCCAAGACTAAATGTCAACTGGTGCTGTATTTCTGAAGTTCTTTTGAATGGGTATTTTGCTTTCTATTCCCTGACTGTATATGAGAAGGCTTCATAATACTCGAAGTCTTTATTTTCAGTTTTTGGCAAGAGTGTTGTCTTCGATACTCACTGTAGCTGTTACTTCAGTTTATAGTGTCGGGAAAAGTAAAATTCTGGTTGTTCATGGTATACTGCACTAGGGAATATCCAGCTTGAAATTTAAGTCTTCAGAGAGCACTCTGATGACCTTCACTGTGTCTGTCAGATAAAAGATTCCAGATAAACCTATCCAAAATCACTAGCACTTTCAGTTGCTTTGGAAGTTAGTAGGGAGCCCGTGAGGATAGTTACCAAATCATCAAGTACATTTTGGGACTCCTTTCCTAGCATGTGAGCTCTTACTAAAATCTACATAATTTGGAGCCTCAAAATAGACTAAAATGGACTTATCCTTTATGGAAACGTGTAGGTGTGCTTAACCTGGCACTCAATCCTACGCTGGAGTAAGAAAAAGAAGTGTGTTTTGACTTCTTGCTTAATTTAACATACTAAACCAAAGTAAAAAAGAAACATGACCTAATTTGAGGGAATTGTAACAAAATGCCCTGCCTTAGGGTTCGTGATGAGTAAGACCTTGTGCAGACTAGGGGGCCAGGTCCTGAGGAACAACAGGCTGCCTTTATTGAGCTCTGTGGTCACAGGGTATCTGCTATGCATGCCATTGGTTACCAGAGGAACCTGGCCAAGGCATGAGGTTAAATCAGTGTAAATCGGTTTACTTCATTGCTAGTAGGCAGACTGCTTTAAATACATGCTTTCCTGATGGTACAAGGCGATCTTCATCTAGAACAACTGCCCACCCTGAAAACACGTGCTTTCCCTGTAAGAGCACATCCCAGATTCCAAAAAAGACCTTCAACTGCCAACAAGATTTAGTAATCTGGTTTTTGTTTACTGTTATTTAGAATCTCTCCTTCTACTGACTACTTTGTTTCTTGTGCTGCCACCACCAAAATTCCCTAAAGGAAATGTGGTGTCTGCACTTTCTTTGGTCTTCAGAGTTCCAGGCTTGGAGAGTTGCAAAGGGTGGTGGTTCTCTTCCTTAGTCACGCTGCACCTCCTCTAAAAAGAATGGAAAGTTTGAGAGACTTGGCCTTCTCAAGTGGAGCCTTTCAATGTACTTTTCCAGTCCTACAAAACAGATTCATGCTGAAAGAGATATACGATGGCGCTGACCCTTGCTTTGAAGGGCAGGAGTTTAATTTCCCCTTCAGCTTTAATGTTATGATGTTTTTGTGACAGTGCCTGTGAATTTTTAAAAGTCGTTGAATTTCAAGTATGATTTTCCCGTTATTCACCATGAAGGTCATAGAATATGCTCTGAGTTGGCAGGTTTCCAGTTGACTTGATCAAGAGCCCAATTTTTAACAGAAGTCATTTTGGTGGATTAGGCATGTTCTTCCATCCTGTCCAACTCTGGATCTGGGCTCCCCTACTTGGTACGTCACAGTTCTCAAAATATAACCTCACACTGCAGGCCTCCAAAGTACACCGGGTCCACAGGTAGCTGCTTTTTGGGCAGTCTGTGCACACAAACTGGTTTGACTAAATTCAATTTAAATTTAAAAAAAAACAGTGAATCCAATTGAACTAGTATTCATTTTCATTATTGATCTGTGCGATGCCATAGTTAGTCATTGGCTTGACTAAATTTTCCTATTTTTTTCCAAGAGATATTACTGTCCTGCAGAACCAGCTTAATAACATCAACCTTCAGGGTAGCTTTGAAAGATGATGTAATTGTGCCTTAGTTGTGGCAACTGAAAACTTTATCCAACTGATATGTTGGGCAGTGATTCAAGGAGTTTTGGGAGTCTCTTGTACCTCTTTGCTTGGCAGATTTTATTTTGGAACTTTGTCCCTTTTCATCTGAGTTTCCTCCCAGAAATCATCATCTGGATATCACTGTGACAAATCTAAACTAATATCGATATGCTCGCCTGAGAAATGAGGATTATTTCTTTCCACATATATTACAAGGGAGAAGGTATTCTGTTTATTTCCTCTCAGCTGACTAATGCTTTCCTGTCAGCATATAGCTGCACATATTGAAGTTGTGTTGCAAGGATAAATTTACCCTCTTCAAAATCATATTCTTCAAATACTATTTATTTAGAAAGCCATTTGGCACCAGTACAGAATTTACCTTAAACATTCTAATTTGAAATTTACTGAATGCATTCTGTTAGAGAAATAAAAATGGGGGAAAACTTTTTTTTCTGAAAACAATGTTTAAGTTCAGCTGCTTAAAAAGAAACACTGCTAAAAAGTTTACAGGATTCAGAGAAACATAGTGTTTTTGTACAGTATCTTATAAAATGTTCAGATCTCTCTCTACAATCTCTTTACAATGTAATATCTCAAAGTGACTGGTTTCCCAATAAACTGATTTTGATGCCTCTTCTGCTGTGTTCTGTGTGCTTAATTCAAGCGGAAACTTTAGCAGGGAATGATTTTTAGCATAAATAACTGCCAGCCAACTGTTTGCATAGGAGGGGAGAGGGTGAATGGGGAGGGGATGACTGAGTTGCATCTATATAGAGGTACTGAGACATGTATGGATCCAAATCATTGTGCCTAAAATTCTTGTCCTGGTGGGTTGGGAAACTCCACTGGTATCTCTTTATTGAGCCCATGGTGAAATAATCCCTTTACCACCCCCCGATCACCCTTTCTCTGGATTCTTCTTGCTTAGTTACATATGCCTTTTTCCTGCCCTCTTGCTAACATGTGCCCAATGACATACTTCTAACCTGCTAATATTTCTTGGAAGGTAAGCTCTCTTGCATTCTGATAATTGTCTATTTGATTTTAAAAGCCAGAGCACCCTCTACCTAGATAAAATAGAATACCATATTAGAATTTGCTAACACTTCTGTGATTACCCATATATTTTACTCTTCTGCTTAAAGAACTTTATGATGGATTCATTTAAGCAGAGGAGACATTTGCTAACTTAGAAGACTGAAAACAAAACCCCAGGGCAACTCCAGCTGAAGGCAGTTTATTTGCTATAATTTAATTACTTCTCCTTCCCTTAGAAAATGCCTTCAGTATCATATTTTGGGCACTCTTGTGCTCTGTGAATAGTGCTTGTGATGTAAATCATCCGGTAAACTTGGCAGTTACCAAGCAGCCATGTTCTGCTTCTTTCCAGATATAGGCAGCATGGAGCACATGAACACATGCCGGTTCCTGAATTAAGTTATCCCCAGACAGTGTTTTTACATAATCCAAAACTGTCATGGTATATGTGGAGATGAGTGACTGGGTTTGTTTTCATTCCATTTTGAGCCAGTGCCAGGTAGAGCAGGTGTTGGTGCCTGGCCCTGTGAATAGGAGCATTGCATAGTTAAGCTGACTGTCTGTGTGCCTAACATCTTCATCTCCTTTCCTGCACATTGTGCCTATCATGTTCCAAAATGTGAGACAGTGATTGGTTGTGTTCCAGTTTGTGTGCAGTTTCCTTGCCTGACTTTTATTTTTCTGTTTTTCCTTTTCCATTTTCAACATCTATTATTTGGTTCCACAATGTTTCTGCCGCGGGTTGACCATTAAATAAATGTTCCAAGAATGGAGTTGAACTGACCTGTGCGTTAATTCTGCATTTTGTGCTTTTCTAGGTCTCCAGAGAGAGCCCAACCCCTGTCCAGGAATAACTGTAGAGCACTTTAAAGAGTCGACGGGTGTTAAAGGTCTTCCCCTGTATCCAGACCCCTCCAGGGCACCTGGCACAAAAACTCAGAACAACTTAGAATCCGACTTCTTGGCCAGAGATGGTCCCTCAAGCAACAGCTCATTCCATAGCAGTGAAGAGGAAGGGACTGACCTTGAGGGGGACATGCTGGACTGCAGTGGGTCTCGACCTCTCCTCATGGAATCTGAAGAAGAGGATGAAAGCTGTAAGCCTCCCCAGGGGAAGCTGGGAGGAGCCATTCCATTCACTCAGCCAGAAGTCTCTACTGAGCCAACAAAGGCAGTACAAGATGGGAGAAAGAACCAGTTCCAAGCCCTCACACAACCAACCACTGACGGTCTCAGTGAGCCAGATGTTTTCACCACAGCCCCATTTAGGAGCTCGAGGGTTCCAGCTGATGATGTGGACATTTTCTCCAAAGCCCCGTTTGTCTCCAAGGGCAGTGTGGCTTCTCCCCAGCCAGAGGAGGCAGACGTGTTCTTGAGAGCTCCTTTTACCAAGAAGAAAAGCACGGAGGAGCTAATAGTTGCCCAGAGCACATCCCAGGAGTTGCCTACACAGGCTAGTCTCCTCAGTCAGACAGGTGATGTCCCGACAGGCATTAGCCCTCTGCTCTCTAGCCTTGATAGAGCAGTGTACCCCTGTGTCCGAGCTCAGTATTCCATGGCTAGTTTTGTCCAACACCCTAACCTCCCCTCCCATTCTGTACAAGCAGCTGACCATCTTGAAAGCATTTCTCCCAGGGGATTCTCCCTGGAACCTGGGGGCCATCCTAACGACAGAAACAAAGGACCTCAGCCCCAGAAAGAAGCGGTCTCAGGCCCTGTGGCTGGCAAACCATTCCTACCCCCATCTTTGTCCAAATATTCCCGTCACTATAGCCCAGAAGATGAGCCAAATCCAGAAGCCCAACCCATTGCTGCCTACAAAATTGTCTCGCAAACCAACAAGCAGTCGATAGCTGGCTCTGTTTCGATCACATCCCTTTCCTCCAGGACTACGGAGTTGCTAGCTGCTGATCCTTTTGCTTTAGCACCCTTTCCTTCAAAATCAGGCAAACAGAAACCTTAGGAGCAATACCTGAGCCTTCGGCCTCTGTCTCCACCCCACCCCTGTACCTGCCTCACCACTTTCAGCTGAGCCTTCTCAAGAAGAAATATATCATTACTATCTTCCAGTTCCCTGCTGTCAGAGCAGAACTTCTTCAGTTAACAAACTCAGTTGCTGTGATGTTTAGTTGAAACCCCTTTAAATTATGCTCATTTCTTCTGTTTATATTAATTTCTGGACTTCTAGACATTTGCATCTCCTTCATAGAGGCCTTCATCTCCACCCAGCACCCACCCTGTGTTTTGCCCTGCAACTGCTGAGGTCGAGAAATACTTCACCCCAGTCCCAAAGGGCCCATATTATTGTTTATTTTAACTCCTGCAGTTCCTGTTCTGAGTCATGTCCATTGAGGAATCAAGATTAGTCCCTCCAGGACTGATGTAATACTCTTGGAAAGAAGCACCAGGTAAAAATCCTGCACATCAAGAGGAAGCGTAATCCTGAGGATACTAATCATTCCTGTAAAACCAGCAGCTCTCTGTTTGAGTCTGTGTGCAAGCCAGGCTGTTCCTTGCGCATGAGTGTGTCTGTGGGTGTGTAATGTACATCATGTCCATTCCTACGTAGAAGTGCACACAGGTTCAGCATCCATGCTCATGTCTAATGGTGTTAGCAGAGTCTTCCTCACATCCATACTTTTAAAGTTAGTATGAGTGTATAGAGGTGTGTTTGTGCATGTGCATGCATGTGTGCCCAGGAAACATTTTTCCTTTAGGTGAGTCCTGTTCCACCATGCCTACCTCCACAATCAAATCCCTCATTTACTGGCATTTGTCTGCTGACCTAATTGACTTGAACCCAATTTTTGTTCAGTTCTTTTTTCATTGTAAAATTGGATTCATTGGAAGGTGTAGGAAAATCCTGACTGGACTGAGGTTTCAGAGTGGATTTAATTCTCAGTATTCCTATTTGCTGTTAACAAATTCCATTTACCTGGTTAAAAACAATTATTATTCCTATACATTTTCCCATCAGAACAATAGAAAAGATCTCCTTATTACAGTTCCAATCATTAGGTATGTAGTCTTAGTAACAAAAAAGTGCTCAATGCTATCGTTATGGAATGCATTAATCATGAGACCAGGCTGCAAATAGAATTGCTTGTTGTTGTTTTTTTTAAATCCTTGCTATCTTTCTCTACTGCCTCTTGAGGAGGGATAAATCTGAGACGTGTAAATAAGTTTGTCTAGGAGAATGGAAAAGAGCTGAATCAGCTAGCCGTGAAATTTCTTAAATTATCCTCTTTAGATGTTGAAGTAGGCCAGATAGGTGACTGACTTGTGTTTTTGAAAATATTTTTGGAAAGATCTGACCTATTATTAGCTTTTTTCCTACCTTTATTAGTGCCTTAAGATAAAGCCTGTGTCTCAATGGGAAGATTTCTGCTGAGGAAGTCAGCTTCATGTAAAGAGTTGCTCGAGGTTTCAACTTGAAAGCTTTGTGTGACTTCTAGTAAATGTTAGTGATGTCTCCATTAGCTGGAGAGTTATTTACCAAACCAGATTAATGTTTTAAGAATTATTGGAAATATATCCAAGAATCAAGCCTAAATGCCAAACTCCCTTGCAGCTGGTTAGGTGAGATATTCTTTAAATTTGAACATCAAGGATCTTGGGAGTAAAATATGAACAATTGCTTTTCAAGACTTTCTAATTTAGTCTCCACTTATTTCAAATATCCAGGTTAAAAGATGAATAATTGGCACTGTAGCAGGGCTACCGGCCATGGTTTTCCAACCAAGGTCTCAGTTGTTCCAGAAACTTAACTTTTACTTTGGTGGATGCTAAATATTCGTTCTGAAGGTTCGCATCCTCCCAAATACCATTTCTGATTTTCGTTTGTACCAATGGATGCAAAACCATCCTTCCAGCTGAAAAATGTTTTTGGCCAATACATATGAAACTTTGCATCCAGAACTTTTCCATGGTCATTGTCAATGAAACCTAAAGGCAAGAGCTAAGAGGATAGTAATGTTCAGGGGGAGTTCTCACCCCAAATCAGAAAATCTTACAAAGTGGAAGGTCTTCCTAACTCACTCTTCCAAATGTTCAGGATTACCTCTGTAACAGTCCTGCAAAATGCGTTTCCTTTGGTGGTTTGATCACTCCCTCCTAACCACATGCCCATTTTAATTCTCAAGGTACAAAACAAAATAAAAATCATGGTGATTTTATTATGTAGTTGAATCATTAGTCAAGCATGAGCTTATAACCGTTTTTATTTTCACCAGAGACTTGTGATGGGTGGAGACTCCACAAATACTTTATTTGAATAAGGAAATGAAATGTAAACACGTGCAAATTACTTTTGTTTGTTTTTTTTTCCTTACTGAATGATGCATGAAAAATTTTTATGACTTGGATTACGTTTATTATTAACTAATAACTGATGAATTTTGTGGAAATGTACTACAATAGGGTTTTATGCCCTTTCTACTGACTTTCTTTGGATCATGTAGAGTAAATTTTCATTTAAAGATAGTATGTTCTTGCCAGAGGCAATCCTGAATCTGGACAGTTCAGTTTTAAGGAAAATCAAGAGTACTCAGGGTGTTTTGAATTAGCAAATGCATGTTTCCAACAACTATACTGCGACAGGTTAAAATTAAAGAGAAAATATATAGTCAGCAAAATACTGTACTTTTTTGCTTTATGTGCCATTTGCATTACACATCTGATACGGAATGTAGGAACTTATGTAGTGACCTTTCATTTCAGTGAAAAGCAGTGAACCAGAATATATTTAGACACAAAGCATTGAGCCGCAACCTGCACTAGTGAATTCTTAAAGAATCTATGTTAATTGACTAGTGGGCACCATTGAATTTATGAAGTTATCTTGTGTTTGTTGAAAATTATTTAACGTAACTGTTTCTCGGGCTTACATATAACCCTTTAGCTCCAAATCCTTGGTTAGATTGGAAAATGGAATGAACAAAATTTGATGCTGAAGCAGATGCTGGACAGGACCTAAGGGAGTCTGAATCCTGTTTCGTTGCGGGCCCACTCATTGTTGAGTTGGAAATTTCCCATGTGTAGACTGATGACACAACAGCTCGGCTGCTGACCGAAAAGTTGGTGGTTCTCCATGGGAAGAAGACCTGGCAATCTGCTCCTGGAAAGACTACAGCCTAGGAAACACTGTGGGACAGTTCTACTCTGTCACATAGGCTTGCTAGAAGTCAAAATCAACTCGACGGCACACAGCAACAACAACGGACTAGTGTGTGTGTGTTTACATTTTCACGTTAGGTCTGAGTTTAATCTGGCAACCAAGATCTCTTTCTAAACTTTGAAGAAAGATACTGGCTTCTTACTGACCCATTAATTTTTTTATAAGTTTTAGAGTGTGTGTATCTCAGCGTTTTCAGCTACTTGGTGGGCATTTCACTGACTCATAAGGAAAGTAGCAGATTTCAGTTTTAAGCATAATAACTGAAGTGATCTGACAGTAAAATTCAATCATGCAGTATTTGCTTCCATCAAGAAAAATAACCAAAACATGTATCATTACATAATATGTATGTATTATGTCAAATAGGAAATGTTATTATAGGAAACTAGAGAAGGGTGAAATCCAGCTCACTCTCTGGCATAAAGGATACAACATAAAGTGGAGTCACTTGGATCCTTTCAATAAAGAAGTTATTCTCTGCTGTGTCCTTGAAATTGGAGAGCACATAGCTGCCAGTTCTGTGAAAGGGCTGTTGGCCACACAGATGTAGTTTTACCTGAGAGATTTGGAACCCCAATTACTTTGATGAAAGGTGCATAGGACAGCTGCTGACAAGACCAGCCTCTAAGGAGACAAGGCACATTGTTAATGTCCATACCTGCCCCTGAGTTCTAATCCTCCAAGCCTGCCTGAAGGAGTAAATACTGAAGATTTTAAATGGAATTATATAAGTTAAACTCATTTTTCCCAGTGTTTTATCAACTACTACTTAGTTTTATTTTTTTTAACCACCAGAGTACTTGCAGTGTTTTTACTGAAAAATTCATTTAAGGAAGAGTTTCTAAATGGTTGAAAATGAAAAGTAATACCTGGTTGAGAATTGTTTTTGTGTTCTTTTACTATAAAACAAATATTGCTTCATCTACTCAATTGAGCAGTCAGACTGTTAGCTCTCATAGCATCAACTGTGCGGAATTTCAACTGACACTTCTTGATTCCCAGAATGCCACTGTGCTCTGTGGCATCTCTGTCCTACCCTGCCTCATTTACTGTTTGGTCTTTGTTAGGAAACAGGCCCCCTACATGTGGTGCCCAAGGTCTCTTCATTAAAACACTGTCAGGCATGGCTCTTTCCGGCTTTTTCTTGACCCCTGGAAGTCTTCTCAGCTAACCTTCCTTGTTCCTGTTCCCACTTCATTTCCTCACTTGACATTCCCCTGTTATGACCATACCACTAAGGTGGATGATTAAGGGTTTGATGGAATGATCATGTTAACTTTCATTTGCCTCCCTGTTTTCTGTACGCAGTTTCTTCTTAAGTTTCAGCCCAGCCTATGACAATCTCACCACACTGGAATAATTCCAAATAAGAATGCAATGGCTCACCTTCCCTATTCCTTGTGGACTAGAAGAAAGGATGATGGAAGGTTGGCAGCACCCCAGCCTTACTCTGTGGAGACACAATCCAGAGGCAGCAGTTCACCTTGTTCTTTACACAGGTCTGGAGGACCCCAGGACAGAGGGGCAAGTTTGAAGGGGCTTGGTAATACCTGGTAAAAATGGCTAAATATTAACCAGCACCCTGATGGCTTGGTCCAGTATCCCCATGATTTATAATTCCATAAGAACTTCAGTCAGCCCTATACCCCAGCAGTGTCTTAAGTATGCATGGCACAGTTTTGAGCTTATGGTAACAAGGTTTTCTTTTTTTTTTTTGGTAACAAGGTTTCTTAAAATCAAGTCAATGTTATCTGCATTGTCTTTTAATAGAACCATATTTACATGTTAAAGGGACCTGCTTAATTTCTTTTGGCAAGGAATTACAGAATGGTTTTTACTAATGTCAGTTAAAGTAGGGGGCACAGATCTTGGGGGTGAGGGAGGGACAATGCAGCCTTTTCACTCTGAAGTGGCAAGTTGGTTGTACTCTCTGAGTCTACCAAAGACTCCTGCTTGAGGAGTGAATGGAGAGTGTGTGTGTGCATGTGTGCCCTTGTGCGTGTGCATCCTCCTGCTTTCTTTCCATGGTATTAACTCAAGACCTCTGAATAAAGGCGTCCAAAGAATACCAAAAGTTGATAGTAGGTACTTGGCATGAATAAATTCGGTTCCCTCTGCTGACAACTCTCCAAGTTAGAACTGGAGTTGTTCTCAATGAAGGTGGGGAAAAATCGGCCATTGCCTTAGCCTCGTTTCCACAGTAAGCATGCTTTTCTCATCCATAAGGATGAAACTTAATAGGGCTTGTCCTGAACCCTTGGCTCACGTGTGGTGTTGGGAGGGCAGTAGTGACCAGAACACCACAAGGCCTGCAAGATGTTACTTTGAATGAGGAAACATTTAAAGTTGTTCAGGGATGGAAACCAAATGATAAAGGCCAAGGACCATAATCATTTCATGGAGAAGAGATGAACTCCCTCTGCTGACTGTTTTGACTGAGGAGGTTAACCCAACTGTAAGGAGTATTGAGGTCATCAGGCCTCAGAAAACAATGTGTGCACGCAATCTCAAGGGCTGTGAACAAGGGAAAGGAAGGGAAAAAGACATTTTAAAAGTCAATCTTAACAGTTTTTGCATACCTCTTATTTGCAGACTATTGGATTTACGTTCATTGCACTCTTGGTGTGATCTATCTTATGTATCTGATAGTTTTTATGAATAATTGAGTTGTAAACTCCTATACACTTTATTAAAATGAACCTAATTAAAATAAATGATTTACACATTGTGTTATTTTTTAGACCAGATCTGCCTAGGATTGAAGAGATCCATAAGCATCTTTCCATTTAATGCCAAGCATAGTAGTGCTTTTTAAGTTTCGGAAAATGACTTTTGATTGGTTGGTTTAGTTGACTGCTAACCTCTCACAGGTCTTAACATTGTGAATGCTGGACATGTTATTTGTTGTGACCTGTTTTCCCTTTCAGATGTTTAATGGAGACATAAATGAAATAATACAAGATAGTGGGGCCAGAAGGACTGCACTGGGAAAACCAGAAAACTCCCTGCTGTGTAAACTCTCCCGTGAGGTTTTAGATCATTGGTTATCTGAATATGACCTGCATCAATATGCAGTCTTTTTTTAATTCTTAAAATATTCCTGAAGAGAGACCAGCATTAACATAAGAAGAAATTGGAGAGATGTTGCCTTGGTTTCTTAGTGCTGCTATAACAAAGTACCACAAGTGGGTGGCTTTAATGAACAGAAATTTATTTTCTCACGGTTAGGAGGCTAGAAGGCCCAATTCAGGGCGCCATCTCTAGGGGAAGGTCTTTGCCTCTTTTGAGCTTCTGTTCCTTGGGGATCTTCATGTGGTGTGTCATCTGTTGTCACCCATCTGCTTCCTTCTGTGCCTAATTTGCTGCTTTTATATTTCAGAAGTGATGGGTTTAAAACACTCTACACTGACGTGGCCTCATTAATACAACAAAGAAAACCCTATTTCCAAATGGGATTACATTCACAGGTATAGGGACTAGGATTTAGAACATATTTTTGGGGGGACACAATTTAGTCCCTAACAGAAGTCTTGGAAGAATACCTTAGGATTTGGAAATCCATAATATGCCGGACAACCTGTCTACCTATTTCCACTCCAAATTTGGAGAAAAAAAAAAGCACTGAGTGATATTTGGCTGAACTTCAATGAGCTTGACTCTGTGATTCAGGGAGAAGGAGTAATGGGCCAAGTTCACAGAGACGGTGTTCAAAGTAGATCCAGGGATCCAAAGAGTTATGGTATAATATGCATGAGTAAAACCAAAGTTGCCTTTCTATGAAGATTAAGTTCTGATCCATTTATCTGTTTTAAATATATGCTGCATCTAGTTCTCCAAAGAATGTGAAGTTCTTAGGCTTTTTCAAGTTAATGTTAACAAAAAGTGCACTCTTCCTTGTCTGTGACTCCCCACCTGCTCTGTGGAAAGCCCTTTCAGAGCCTCATGATTCCCACGGAGGTGCAGGAATCAGAGGCTTCTGAGAAGATGTGGAACAGAGCTCACCCACAGTGACTGAACCCTGCTTTCCATGGAGGGAGCCTAGGAGTTGTTAGAAACTCCAAATCCCACGGGGTTGGGCTCTCTGCATTCATCCTTTTGTGGTTCACTCTCTCCCCCAGAAGCTGGTTGGTAAGAGACCAACAAGGGAGGAGATGCCCTTATATCACCCCCTAATTGAGAACTGGGCCCCGGTGGCACAGTGGTTAAGAGCTTGGTTGCTAACCAAAAGGTCAGCAGTTCGAATCCACCAGCTGCTCCCTGAAAACCCTATGAGGCTGTTCTACTGTACCCTATAGGGTCGCTATGAGTCGGAATTGACTTGATGGCAACGGGTTTGGTTTTGGTTAATTGAAAACCAAGTGGGAGGACCCAAGGAAAAGGCAAGTCTCATCTTGTTTTTGAGCAGGATCTTTTGATCCCCAGGACATACTTTGTTCTTCACTCTTTTGAGAAACCTTAGGTTACCTGAGGTGATTTGTTCACAATTTTCTCATGATGTTGTTAGTTGCCGTTGAGACAACAGAGTAAAATGTCATTCGGTCCTGCACCATCTTCATGGTCATAGGTATGCTCAAGTCTATTGCTGTGGCCACCGTGTATTTTCAGTACCTTCCGACCTAGTGCTCATCTTCCAGCACTGTATCAGATAATACTCTGTTTTGATCCATAGGGTTTTCATTAGCTAATTTTCAGAGTAGATCGCCAGGCCTTTCTAGTCTGTCTTAGTCTGGAATCTCCACTAAAACCTGTCCACCATGGGTGACCCTGGTGATATTTGAAATACTGGTGGCATAGCTTCCAGCATCATAGCAACACACAAGGCACCACAGTATGACAAACTGACAGGTGGGTAGTGGAATTTTCTCATAGAGTAGCCAAAAATTAAATATAAACTGCTAGCCTTTGTTCAGTTTATAGTGAATATTACTGGTAGAAATAACATTCAGAACAGCTAAAACTGCATATGGTTAAAAATCGGAAAAATGAAATCTTGACAAAATTTAGATCAACAAAATTTTGGGAAATTTGGATTTAGTAGGAATAGTGACCACGAGAGAACTCAGTAGCAGAAGATACCATCAGCAAAATTTGAAATAGACCAAAAATTGACTGACAAAGCAAATCTCTTATAAAATGTATAGAGAAAAGACTACCCCACTGAAATGAATTACAGTAAAAGGAAATGTATTGCATAGGAAACAGTTCCAAGAACTTAAATTGGTTGAATGAAGTTGCTTAATGGAGTCAATATTGGCATTATCCCTACTGAAATACCTGTATTCGAAAACATTGGGTGGAACAGTCACAATGGTTCACAATGTCCTGTGCACATGGGCTGTCAAAATGAAGTTGTCCAGATGACAATGAGCTGTATGCATCAGGAGAGACGTCTTGACTGGTGATAGAAACAATCAGTGTCTTAGTTATCTAATGCTGCTTTAACAGAAGTACCACATGAGAATGACTTTAACAAACAAATTTATTCTCTCAGTCTAGGAGGCTAGAAGTCTGAATTCAGGCCACCAGCTCCAGGGGAAAGCTTTCTCTCTCTGTCAGCTCTGAGGGAAGGTCCTTGTCATTAATCTTCCCTTGGGTCTAAGAGTTTCTCAGCACAGGGACCATGGGTGCAAAAGACACGCTTTGCTCCTGGCTTGCTTTCTTGGTGTTACGAGGTCCCTCTCCTCTCTGCTTGCTTCTCTCTTTTATATCTCAAAAGAGACTGACTCAAGATACAGCCTAATCCTGTAAATTGTGTCCTTCCTCATTAACATCATAGAAGTTAAGATTTACAACACATAGGAAAATTACAAATCAGATCACAAAATGGAGGACAGCCTCACAATACTGGGAATCATGGCCTAGCCAAGTTGACACACATTTTGGGGGGATACAATTCAATCCATAATAGTGAATGGCATTTGAATGCATGGACATAGATAAGATCAAAGAAGGTGAATGTAGAGTGAAGAGAAGAGCACTCTGGGAACATCAACGTTTAAGGGATAGGTGAAAAGAAAAGTCATGAAAGAGACTGAGGAACAGGAACAAGTGTAGGCAGAACAGAAGGGTAACATCAAAGCCAAGGGAGGAAAAAATGTCAAGAAGGAGATAGTAGTCAGTGTTAAATGCCAGGAAGAGATCAAATGAGATGGAAAACTGTTCCTTGGCTTTGTCAATTAGGCCATTAATGACCTCTGCAAGAGCTAATTTAGTAAAGTAGTGGGGGCAGATTGCAGTGGGTTGAGGCGTTAGCAGGGGATAAAGAATGAAGTATACGTTTTAAGCAGTTGAGTGGTACCATTTTATACAAGGGATACATTCACAAAGACCTTGATTCAAAATTCAAGACTGGTTTTCCCACAGGAATTGCAAGTAAGGGTAGTGTGTTCTCATAGCTCAATCTTCTAGAGTTACTGTAATTTAAGGGCACATCACAGTTTCACTGATCCTTCTACCAGAACAGCAACTTGGGCCCAACCCCCCCCCCCTTTTTTTTTTAACATTAGGTGGTGCTTTTTACTTAAAAGGTCTATCTTCTCTCTTAATTTAACAGGCTTCTCCATATTTTATTACATCTATCTTGCATTCCAATATTATTGACGTGTGTGTATCCCAGTTCTGGTACTAATAACATCATCTAGCAAATCATTTAGATGGCATTTTTAGGATAGATGTCTTAGGCTGGGTTATCTAGAGAAGCAAAACAAGTGAAGCACATATATATGTATATATATATAGAGAGAGAGATCTCAAGGAAATGGCTCACACTGTTGTGGAGGCTGGCAAGTCCCAAGTCCGTGGGTCCGTGGGTCAGGCTGGAGGCTTCTCCTGACTCACATAGCTGCTGGGGCTGACAAACCCAAGATCCACAAGTCAGACGTCATGTCCCAGGAACTGGAGGTCAGATGTTGATGAGCCAAATGCAGGATCCAGAGCAGAGCAAAAGCCAGAGAGCTTTGCTGGAAAATCCAAATATATTGGATGCGGGCCACACTCCCAAGGAAACTCCTTTTCAACTGATTGGCTACTCATAGCAGATCTCATCATGGAGGTGATTACAGCATTACACAACTGCCAAACTACATCGTAACTGCCAAACCACTGGGAATCATGGACCAGCCAAGGTGACACATAACCTTAACCACCACAATGGAAAAGAAGAACTTATACTTCAGTATCAGTGAATGTTAAAAAAAAATAGCCCAATAGTTACTGCGATAGGTTGAATAATGATCCCCTATTCACTCCTAATTCCCGGACCCTTTGTTTGAATGGTACTTTTGTTTTAAAAAAAAAATATTAAGCCAATAATAGAAATTGATTGGAGTTTATTTAATATACAATTTGCAAATCAGGGTAACATTTCGACTAGAGAGTCAAAAATGCTCCAAAGAAGAAAAATCTTTTACAGGGTCTTATACTCCAGCTTATTGATAGTAATTATACATTGCCATGGAAAAAAGGCAGAATAATGTGTTTACATAATAAGTTGTAGACATGCAACGTTTTCTTGAAGAACAATTCAGATAATTACTGATTTACCCTAAAACATAGTTCTAGTCTGGTGTTTCTGTTGAGGAAACTGAACATAGATAATTCAATGAAAGAGCACAATGTCCAAGGCAAAACGTTCTTTACTAATTAATCTTGGCTGTTTTTTAACTTTAAGGTGACTTTTAGAAAACTAGTTTTCTCAAGGCTCAA